AAAAAAAAAAAAAAAAAAAAAAAGGTAGCTCTTCCTAAGAGAGGCAGTGCAAAGGAATGCGAGAAGTTAAAAAAAAAAAAGAGAAAAAGAAGAGAAAAAAATAAAAAAGAGCGGCGGTGCGAAAATCTGTTGCCTCGGGGGCTAGCCAGCAACCTCTTTCATTTCAAGCGCTTATTGATTTGCTGTTGTCATCTTTGGCGACGCAGAAGGACACTTGAAAGAATTTCTGATGGGGCTCTGATCTGAGAAACGAGGTGACCTGACCGGGCTCTCACCAAATTCTTAATTACCACATCAACTGCCTTAAAAATAAAATAAAAAAAAAAGGAGGGGAGGGGTAGGGGGAAAAGAAAAAAAGAAAAAAAAAAAAAAAAAAAAAAAGAAGGGGGGGAATCTTTCACAGCAACAGACTTTGCTCATCCGAACTTTTTTAACCACTCAGAAACTCTTCTCGCCTCCTGCTCCCACCGCTGTTTCCGCAGCTCTGCGTTCAGACATCCCCCCCCTCCGCTGGGCGCGGAGCAGCCGCGGGGGGCTGCGGAAGGGCCGGGAGCCACCCCGGGCGGCCAAAGCTGAGCACACCCCCTCTGTCCCCTCCTGTCCCTCCCCCGGCCCGGAGGGCAGTTTTTGGGAGCAGCCCTGGGGATGGGGGGGCGAGCCTGGGAAAGGGGGGGGTTTGCGAAAGAAAAGGTTTCAAATGCAGCAGATCGCAGAGGAGAAGGGGAGAGGGGTCAGGACGAGGTGTGTGTACGTCTGTGTGTGCGTGTGTGTACGTCTGTGTGTGTGTGTGTTACACTCCACCAGACATACCAGCCTGCGACTTGTCTGCAGCCAGCTGTTTAGAGTGTCCTCCAAACTAGATGTCTGCTACTTTGGGGGGGGGGAGGTGGGGTGGGTGCAAAAGGAAAATTCAGAGGAAACCAACATGAAAACCCGGTTGTCCAAGGCACTAGGAAGGCCAACAGTGTTTGGTGCCGCTTGTACACAGGCGTAGGACGCTGAGAGATGACAGCAGCGCTCTTGGCCGAAAAGAAATACGCTGCCTTTGTCCCACATGGTGCACACACACATGCACATTCCTCCTCCTTCCTGCTCTGGCTGCTGTTTCTGCAGGACAAAGCAAACCCTCCGTTATGGGCATCATCTTCCCTCCCCTTCTTCTTTCTCTTTTTTTCTTTTTTTTTTTTTTTTTTTTACTCCACCTCCCCTTTGTGTGGTTGCTCTTTATTTCAGTGTCAGAAAGCTGAGGGCCAGGATTAGCACCTATTTCAGTGGCTGGACCCAGGCTGTGAACGCCCAGCAGGCTTTTGCTTAGATTTTGTACCCTTGTTAGCTTTGGAGGGACATTGCCAGTCCCACCGGTTCATGTCCCCGCCGTCCATTGGGGCTGACGACGTCCCTGTTGTCTGTCTGTGCCACCCCTTCCCCATTTGCAGCGGGTCTACTGCTTGGCTAGGGCAACCAGAACTGTCCTACGCTCTCCGTCGAGCATCAGCTCCTCAAATTCTGGTTTGTAGGGTGGCAACACTTACCAATAAGGATTAGACAGCCTAGCACTCGTTTTCAAGCCTCATTGTAGGGCTTCAGTCATTTGTGACAGCCCTTTTCAGCCCATAGCTTGCTCATATCCCGTGTCCAGCACAGTATACTTAACATGTCTATCTTCTCCCTACGTGCCTGACACTTTGCAGTACTGTCACTGGACTTCCTTCTCAGCAGTGTCATGTTGTAGCAAAGGCAATGAATGAAACCACCCCTTGTTATCTTACAGGAGCTGGATTCAAATTTGGGGGATTTGGGAGCTTAGCAGAGAAACCCTAGAAGGGGTGCCACTTGGATTTTTTTTTTTGACATGGCTTTCTGTGCTGCTTTGAAGACCTTTTCTAAAGCTTACGGAAATCCAGGATCTCTGTGTAGTTACTTAATTCATTTTCATCCATACTTGGTAAAATTAGACCTTTGGTAAGTGCTGCAAGTGTGGGCTGAAGGGGATGTCACATTTTTCAAAAAACAGGTACAAGTACAACAGTGCTGCCAGTGTTGGAGCATCACAGCCTCCCTGCTGCCCTTGTCTGGCAAGAAGGCAGGTGTCACACCTCCTGTCCGTCCCTGGCGGCGCAGAGGGACCATCCCTCACCCGGTGAGTGCTGGCAGTGTTTGTGCTCACCCTCTTCAGGGAGCCTCTGTCACGCTCGTCAAGTGGCTGCTTCTCCTGTGTCTCCCTTGCTTTTGTTGCTGCCAGCCCGTCCCTCAAACTATAAAGTGCTCCACTCATGGTCTCTGGCCTTTGAATGTTTCTGAAGGAAAAGGGGAAGAAACAATGCCATAACGAGGGCAAATTATCTGTATGTTGCGGTTTTCTTACAAAAGAGAGCACCTCTTCTAAGTTTGGTTTGTTGGACATGACGTAATCGTGAAGAAGCTTATCGAAGAAGATGAGGTAAATGCACGTCGCTTAGGCTGTGCTCTCCTCTCACCCATGGTTTCATGGTCACCCTGTGTGATGATCTGCGACTGGTCTGGGTTTGGTATCTTCACTGAACTACACGTTGCTGAAAAGCTAGATGCACACGGTAAGTATCCACCTGCGTCTGATCCCACATCATTTCAGTTGTGATTAATGGGGTGAAATCCAGTTGGCGGCCAGTCACCAGTGGTGTCCCTCAGGGCTCAGTTTTGGGGCCAGTCTTGTTTAATATCTTTATTGATGATCTGGATGAGGGGATTGAGTGCACCCTCACTAAGTTTGCAGATGACACCAAACTAGGTGGGAGTGTTGTTCTGCTTGAGGGTTGGAAGGCTCTACAGAGGGACCTGGGCAGATTTGATCAATGGGCCAAGGCCATTGGGATGAGGTTCAATAATGCCAACTGCTGAGTCCCGCATTTTGGTCACAACAACTCCAGGCAGCGCTCCAGGCTGGGGGCAGAGTGGCTGGAGCTGCCTGGCAGAAAAGGACCTGAGGGTGTTAGTGGCCTGTGGGCTGAACATGAGCCAGCAGTGTGCCCAGGTGGCCAAGAAGGCCCCCAGCATCCTGGCCTGTGTCAGGAACAGCATGGCCAGCAGGACCAGGGCAATGATGGTGCCTTTGTACCAGGCACTGGTGAGGCCTCACCTCGAGTGCTGGGTTCAGTTCTGGGCCCCTCACTACAAGAAGGACATTGAGGTGCTGGAGCGTGTCCAGAGGAGAGCCACCAAGCTGGTGAGGGATCTGGAGAGCAAGTCCTACGAGGAGAGGCTGAGGGAACTGGGCATGTTGAGTTTGGAGAAGAGGAGGCTGAGGGGAGACCTCATTGCCCTCTACAACTCCCTGAGAGGAGGGTGTAGAGAGGTGGGGGTTGGCCTCTTCTCCCAAGGGAATCATGCCAGGAGCAGAGGAAATGGTCTGAAGTTGGGGCAGGGGAGGTTTAGATGAGATCTGAGGCAGAATGACTTTGCTGAGAGGGTGGTCAGGCCCTGGAATGGCCTGCCCAGGGAGGTGGTGGAGTCACCATCCCTGGAGGGATTTAAGAAATGTGTAGAGGTGGCATTTCGGGGCATGCCCTAGTGCCCGAGATTATTGGTTTGTGTCTGTTTGTGGTTTTTTTTTGTTTTTTTTTTTTTGTGGTTGGACTCGATGATCTCAAAGGTCTCTTCCAACCATGAAGATTCTGTGATCATTCCTTACAGCAAACTATTTTCTCTTTTTCCTGCTTTCTGCGGGCTGTCCCTTGCCCCGCTGAGGGTTGCCTGTGGCCACAGGCCCTGAGGGCGCTCGCTCCCCTTCACCATGGAGGCCCCTGGAATGCATGTCCCATCTTGTGGCTGGCCAGCTTTTAGTTTTGGTGAGAAGGTTTGGGGAGGGGGTGCTGTGTGTGCTGTGAAGTTTTGGGGTGAGATTTTGGAGTGCAACTGTCAGGTTTTGGTCCGTAGAGGGGCTGTCCCACCACCTGACCTCTGGGGCTGTAACTGGCCCTGGGTGGCTCATGGCCGTCTGAGGGGGGCCCACCCCGCAGCCCCACTGCCACCACCCGTGGGCTTCCTTGCCCGTGGCTGGGACATGTACAAAACCTGTCCAGGAGTGAGGGGTACCATGAACCCCCATCCCCACTGGCAGTGGGGTGGGGAGAAGGAGGGTGAAATCCCACTGGCCCAGGGCTCCTGGGCTGAAGGGTCGCTTGTGACTTCCTTCCTCTGTGGTGGGAGAAGATGGGACATGGCCGGTGTCAAGACAAGTTTCAGTGGCCAAGGGGCTGGCTGAAAGCAAGGGAAATGGAGTTTAAAAGCAGCCTGGATGCTTAATTGGGACAGCCAAGAGACCCATCGCTGTGAGGGGA